TGTTGTGAACCTCTACCCCTGCCTGAACCACTACCCCGTTATGGACAATCCCTCACCCTATGGCACTGTTGGCCGGAACCAAAACACCCACCCGACGCCTCTTGAACATGAGTACACTGGTACTTGTAGTGTCTCACCTGTCCGTACCTAAAATAAGTAACATCCAGTCTAATAAACCCTATAGACACTGAAATAGTGGGTGCGGATTTGGCTGACTACTATCTCCTAAACCCTGCTTAAGACCATCAAATTATATCTTTTTAACTCTCTCCGCTTAGGTGTCGGAAAGTACTTCTCATAAAAGGGTTTCTTGAAAGCATCATATGTCATGGTATCCACATTGTGGGTATGAGAAATGGTCTTCCACCAAATCTCAGCATCCCCTATAAAGTTGTAAGTAGCCAGAATAATCTTCAACCTGTCCGACACCAAGTTCATAGCATTCAAATGCTTCTCCACCCTTTCCATAAAACTGTCTGTAACAAGCGGATCTAGGTCGCCCTTAAATAGAGTCAGCATTAACTTCATAAACTTTGTTATGTAGTTAAGAGTCTTCTCTAACTTATTTTTCTCTGGAGGTGGTGCCGGTGGTGGCACAACTTATGACGATGATGCTACTACAGTCCGAAGTGCATCCTGAATGACTGCTTGTAGAGCCAACCTAACCTGATCTTCACCTATCTGAGTAGGTGGCTCAACAGTCCTCCTCGCTTGTCCTCCTCTTAGAGGGATTAAATCACGCAACAACGTGTCCTCCTCAACCTGCTCCTGATCCCTATCCATGGGATTGGAGCTAAAACTCTCCCTAGAATCCCTTCGAGGTGGCATGACAATAAAAAGAAGAAGAGACAAGTCAAAAACAATGACATAAGACACGCTCGAGAACTAAGTCCTTACACGAATGATTTGACGAGAATGAAAACACATAAACACCTTCCATAGTCCTGGAGCACCCAACCAATAATAATGATGATGATGATCATGCTATCAACATGCAACAACATTAAACACTTAGCACGTATCATGTAAACAGTTAAACAAGTAAGCAAATAGGCATGCCTTTCAAATAGCTAAACACTTAAAAAATAAGCATATAAGCATGCAGTTCAACTTCCCATGCAATCCTGGGTAGGCCTCTACCCAGCGTCCTAATAGTATTCGAACCATTGCTCTAATACCAAATTTGTAACAACTCGAACCCGAGGGTCCGAAACGTTAGTTGGGTCCTTACCCAAACTCGAGGTTAACTAGGGGCATGATCGACCTTTCATAAGTCAACGCAAGGCATGGACCTCATCCACAAGTCCACAACTTTCCCGAATTGCCAACACCACTAGAGGAACTCAATGTAGGGAGGAAGAAGAGGATTGACCGGCTAACAGCCTTATGTTAGCCGGTAAATACATAAGGTTCGGTCGGCTGACCTAGATGGTCGGCTGGCCGAAACGATGCACAAATGTGCATGCTCTTGGGACTTCCAGAATTTGGTCTCTCGACCGGTTGGAAATCTAGCTTCGGATGATTGCTAGAGGTTCAGTTGGCTGATGGGGAAATTTGACCAGCCGAAACAACCCAGTTCACAACCCCACTCTCTGTCAAGCATAAAAAATGCCTTGTTGGTCGACTGGTTTTCCTTGTCGGTCAGCTGGTTCTCTTTATCAGCTAGTCGACAAGCCCGGGAATGTTGCTAACTGCAGTTGGAAACACAAAAAACTGGGCTCGTTATGAGCCAAACCTAACACACAACCACACTCGAATCCACGACAATGAAATATAAATTATACTTTATAATTGAAACGAATATAAACTTCCCAAAATACTCTATCATTTCCTATTCAATACAAAGTGTCAACATAGTCCCAAATTACAACAAAATTTCTGTCAAAAATCAGTTATAGTATTTGGCCATACAGTACAAAATGATTACATTTTCAATAAGAGACTTTATAAAAGAATGGGTTTACAATACAAAAGATGACAAAACGACTTCAAGTCTCATCAAGCTTGTGGTGGATCATCATCTGCCACTTCCTTCACGTATCCTGAAAAATGTTAATAATAAAATGGGGTGAGCCAACCGCTCAGTAGGAAGTGTCTAAGACACACCTGTTACGACCCCGTGAATCTATATAAGGAATAAAATACAAGTAAACAGGATCATGCTTTGGGAATTAAATAAAACGATAATAATATCAACAAACACTTAAACAAGTCATCCAACTACCAAGTGTGCAATATATGCCAATGAAATGCCATGCCATGCAATGTTGCTCCCAATTTCTGAGACAATACTGTTTCACCTTTCAAACCGTTAGTGCAATCCGACCCCAAGGCAACTTCAAGGCATCACGAAAGGAGGATTGGATAACTATCCATGACTACAAGGTAACTCTAAGGCGTCGTATCCGGCTTAGGTAGCTCAACAACACTAGGGTCTCTCCTTTGTCCCCTCTTGACCACACGTAACACCACAGACCACTAAGCGACTACTAGGAGTCCGGTTTTCGCAAATTCAAAAACATTTTTCCCCTTTTTCTTTCCCAATAAATGCATTAATGCCTATTGCTTCATAATTATTTTGCCAACAATGAAATTTCACATAAGTCACCAATTACTAACCATATACTTATACATCATGCTTTCAAATAAACAATTTAAACACGTTGGACATATCATAGCATACTTTGAAGGTATTTCATCACATTAACATAAAGAACAAGAATTTTGGCCAAATAACCACATAAACCAAATTGTCACATAAAACCCTAAGTATCATAAGTTAAACACTCAAATTAAACATGTTCGAGAGCAAATTTAAGGGAAAAAATTCACTAAAATCAAATAAAGTAAGGGTTAGAACACCCCTACCTCTAATTGAATGAAAAACCCCAAATTCACCAAATTTTCGAATCCCAATTGGTGGCCAAACAGAGATTTGTTCTGATCAAATCGTCGGCCTCGACGCACTCGTTAACTTTGCCTTAAGTGGCAAAGCCAAATTCTCAAAGGACATGACTAGATCAAGATTTAAATTGATGGCAAAAAAAAAAAGGAAAGAAATTGAGGGAGGGAGGAAATGGTGATGATATAATGGCCTTAAAGCCATTAAAATTGTTATATAACAATGGGCCCCACAAAAATTAAAATATCTTCCTTTCATAATACTATATGCATTCTCCAAACTTGATATCTTTTTTGGGACAGATGGAGTATTATATATATATATATATGCACACACACACACACCAATCACTTACCACCACACAATTAGTTACATAACCAAGTAAATATGCTCCAGATAATAATGCATGAAATGTAATGGACTCGTGACACAACCCACGTACACATCAACCCCGGTAGCGGGTCCCATCTGGGACTCCTCGGTCCGAATGACAGAACAATATCGAAATGGCAACCAATACATTTCCAAGAGTTCTAAACTCAAGAAAATGTCCAAACCAACTCCCAGGCACACCCGACACACCCCACGGTGTCCGGCATGCAAAACGAGAAAAGATAAAAATATCCTTAAAAAATAAAAAAAAAAAATTCTATAAAATGGAAAATGACGAAAATTGAAAACATTACATAAATATGTGAGTGAGATACATAGATGGGAGCAAAGAGAGGGAAAAAAAAAAAATAGATCTGGTGGGTTTAACCCTAAAAAATGGGTATAACCCATGTTTTATATCTTTGTAAGTTTAAAAAAGATGTCAACCTCTTATTGGGACACGTTAGTATGCATGATACAATTTGTCCTGATGGGGCAAGACTGAAGTATTATCCTTATTGTAAAACGTGAATGAGAGTAGAAAAAAGGAGGGAAAAAAAGTCATATAAGGATGCAATTCTTTGGGGGCCAATATTAAATTTATGTATCAATTAGAGTTCAACTGAACGAGGAAGGAGAGAGAATTGAGAAAAAAAACATAAGTTATTTTAGGATATATGTATTTGAGGCCTAATATAAAATCGGAATGGATAAGGAGAGAGAGAAAAGAGAAAAGAGAAAAAATAAGTTATTTTACTATATAAATATTTGAGGCCAGATGGAAATTCTACTGAACCAGATGTGGCTGCTAGGAATATCTCTCTTTCTGATTTGATGTAGTTGTCCTTGTTGCTTTATTGTGCTTGGACAGTGGAGTCTATCCACTGCTCTTTAGTTTTCTTTTCTAAGTTTAAGGTATGGATGTATGTATCCGTTCATTCTTAGTTGTGTTCTTTCATTATGGGGAATGCCCTCTGTGCTCCTGTACATATTTTTATTTTCTTTTTATACAACCATAATTATGGAAAATATATATATATATATTTTGAGGCCTAATATAAAATCGAAACGAGTGGAGATGAGATAAAAAAAAGTTGTTTTAGGATATAAATTTTTGAGGCCTAATATAATTTTTTTATATTTATTAGAGTTTAACAATATTAGGAAATAATTATAGTATTACTTGATATAAAAAAATTTTAAAATTTTGGAGCCTTCCTATTAGCTGGGGCCTAAGTCGCCTAAGGCTTGAGTCGGCCCTGATTTGGTGGTACGAAAGTCATGGAGTGAGTTTATTTTGTGTAGGTGAGCAATTATGTTTATTTTGTATACTATTCCCTGCTTAATTGGACTCAACAGATTCATATAGCAGAGTTTACCAAAGCATGAACTACCACAGCCAGGTCTTCAACCTAATTCAGGACTTCTAGATAACACAATTGAAAAAAATAAGTCATTTTCTTAATAATTTTTAAAAATCATTTTCTTCATATATATCAATTTATGTGGAGCCTTGTTTGTAGAAAAAAAAAAAAAGAAACAAAAAAAGAAAAGAAAAAAAGAAAAGAGACAAAGACCAAGACTTTAGCGGCTATGGACTCCTTTTTCTCTACCGTGTGAGTGACAAGATAATGGACCACCAAACTAACTAGTAGATCGACCTGTAGAATAAAATGTATATAAATAAGAGCTTTAAACCAGCATTGCTACACATCAAACATAAACCATGGGGTCTCCAACGTTAGAGAAGTTCCTCTCATTTGTTTCCTTAGTCTTGTTTGTAGTGCTATTGTCTTCACCCAATTTAGCTTCTGCTTCTGTTCAAGAAGCTAAAGCTCTCCTCAAATGGAAACACAGGCTTCAACACCAAAACAATTCTGTGCTAAATTCATGGATTTTTCCATCTAATTATAATGCCACAGTTTCTTCAAGCCATCCAAAAACAAGTATCATCCCATGCACTTGGTCCGGAGTTTCTTGCAGTATTCATGGAAGTGTCAGGAGACTGAACCTCACAAATTCAAGTGTAGAAGGTACGCTCTATGATTTTCCATTTTCGTCTCTCCCTCATCTTGCATATATTGATCTCAGCATGAATGTTCTTTGCGGTACCATCCCACCTCAAGTTGGTAAACTCTCAAAACTCATCTATCTTGATTTGGCCATCAATCAGTTTTCCGGAATAATCCCACCACAAATCGGAAATCTGACAACTCTTCAAGTCCTCCACCTGTTCCAGAATCACCTAAATGGCTCAATTCCTAGAGAAATAGGCCAGCTAAAGTCCCTTTATGAGCTTGCTTTGTGTACTAATGATCTTGATGGTCCCATTCCCGCTTCTTTGGGCACATTGAGCAACTTGGCTTCTTTGTTTCTTTATGAAAACAAACTCACTGGTTCCATTCCTCCAGAAATGGGGAATCTCTTCAATCTTGTCATTCTTGACATGAATACGAACCTTCTCACAGGTCCTATCCCTTCCACTTTCAAGAACTTGAATAAGCTAACCATGTTGCACCTATTCAAAAATCAGCTCTCTCATTCCATTCCACCAGAGATAGGAAACCTGAAATCGCTTGAGACACTGATTATTTATAAAAATAATCTTTGTGGCACAATCCCGGCATCCTTGGGTGATATAAGCTCGCTAACTCGACTATTTCTCTATGAAAATCAACTTTCTGGTCCCATTCCTAAAGAATTAGGGAAGTTAAAGTTTCTCTATGACCTACAATTGAGTGCGAATCAATTCATTGGTTCTGTTCCTACTTTATTTGGCAACTTAAGCAACATGAAGTTCTTGTCCCTCCGTGACAACCAACTCTCTGGTCCTATTCCACAAGAAATTGGGAACCTGGAGAAGTTGGTCGTATTGCAAATGGATCATAATCAGTTTTCTGGCTATTTGCCTAAAAACATTTGCGAAGGTGGAAAACTACAAAACTTCACGATAAACAGTAACCAGGTCAAGGGTCCTATCCCCAAAAGCTTAAGAAACTGTTCTAGCTTAATCAGAATCCGTTTCAATGGAAACCAGCTCACTGGAGATGTATCTAAAGCTTTTGGTGTCTATCTAAATCTTAATTTCATGGATTCAAGTAACAACAATTTTTTTGGTGAAATCTCATATAGATGGGGACAGTGCCCAAATTTGACTAGCATATTGATGGCAAGGAACAATATCACTGGCCAAATACCACGAGAGTTAGGAAATTTATCTCGACTTCAGGTAATTGATCTTTCTTCGAATGAATTAGATGGGGATATTCCAAAGGAACTAGGGAACTTAGATTTGCTAAAGCTTGATTTGAAAGACAACCAACTTTCTAGTAGTATACCTAAAGAACTCGGATTACTAGCTAATCTGTTGTATCTTGACATGTCCATAAATAGATTGAGTGGGTCAATACCGGGAAATCTTGAAAAATGTTTGCAGCTGTATTACTTGAACTTGAGCTACAACCATTTTAGCCAAAAAAATTCCACCTGAAATGTATAATTTAGCTCACCTGTCCGAGCTAGATTTGAGTCACAATCTGCTCATGGGAGAAATATCGTCACAAATTGAAAATTTGCAGAGTTTGGAGGAGCTATATCTCTCCCACAACAACCTCTCTGGTTTACTTCCAGAGGCTTTTGAAAAAATGCATAGCATGATGTATGTTGACATATCCTACAATGGGTTTCGAGGTCCCATTCCCAGCAACAATGCCTTTAGAAATGCTACCATAGAGGCATTACAAGGGAACAATGGTTTGTGTGGCAATTCTACAGTATTGAAACCTTGCAAAAATGGCTAACACGTTGTGAAGGAAAGCCACAAACTCACTTTAGTTCTTATAATTGTATTGCCTCTTGTGGGAGCACTTTTACTTCTTGGTGCATTCATTGGACTCCTCATCATGTTTGGAAGTAGGAAAGGTAAAGCACCAATTGAACAAGGCTATTTCCAGGATGAAAACAATCTGTTTTCAATTCCTAATTTTGATGGAAGAGCAATGTATGATGAAATCTTAGAAGCCACTAATGAATTTGATGCCTCATATTGCATTGGGAAAGGAGGATACGGAACTGTCTACAAAGCAAAGTTGGCATCAGACAACATAGTGGCTGTGAAAAAACTTCACCCATTATCTGAGACAGCAGATTGCCAAGGGTTTTCGAATGAGGTGAGGGTATTGACTGAATTACGACATAAGAACATTGTCAAGCTTTATGGCTTCTGTTCATATGCTCAACATTCATTTCTGATTTGTGAGCACTTTGAAAGGGGTAGCTTGGCCACAATCCTAAGCAGAGATGAAGAGGCTAAACTTTTGGATTGGGCCAAGAGGGTGAATATCATTAAGGGGGTGGCTCATGCCGTATCTTACATGCACCATGATTGCTCACCCTCAATTGTTCATAGGGACATATCAAGCAACAATATTTTGTTGGACACCGAGTATGAGGCTCATGTCTCAGATTTTGGCACTGCTAAGCTTTTGAGGCTGGACTCATCAAATTGGAGTAAACTTGCAGGCACATATGGATATATGGCACCAGGTAAACGCAGTTCTGTGTTGTTAAAACTAATTTGTTATATGCAACACTGGAGACCAATTATACTGATCATATTATACTTTTTCTTTGCAGAACTAGCTTTCACAATGAAGGTGACCGAAAAGAGCGATGTGTATAGCTTTGGGGTGTTGACACTGGAAGTGATCAAAGGAAAGCATCCAGGCAATCTAACCACCTCACTACCATCTACATCTATTGGTCATAACATAATGCTGAAAGATGTGTTGGACCAACGGCTTCCAGCTCCCTCAACCGAAGCTGAAGAGGTGTTGATATCAATTGCGGAGATGACCAGTGCATGTTTAAATGTCAATCCACAATATAGGCCGACTATGCACATTGTCTCACACATGTTGTCAACCCTAGTAACACCTTCCTAGAACCATCCAGCTCAGTTGTGTGGAAGACTAGTTACTTAGGGAAGTATGGATATTCTGCAAAATAAAACCAAATGCTAGCCCAATATTTCTGCCCTTCTTTGTAACTTATAGTGTGCTGTTTTTAGTCCTTGGTAATCTATATGCACTTCGTATCAATATATTTTCAGCATTGTTTGTTCAACATTGTCCTCAATGTGCATACACGAGTTTAGACTTTCGTACTAAGTGGTTAACTGTTGTTTTGACCCCATGAGTAAATTATAACAATTATGGTACAAACTGAGAAACCACCTTGCGCTTAATATTCAAATCTTATCTTGTCATTAGGAAATTTTTTTATAAAAACACATGTTTCATTTATGAAAAAAGAAAAGCGCATGTTTCTGACACTTGAGCTATTTTAAATTAACAATTGATTAAATCAAGCCAACTATTTATTTCTTCATTTTTTTTCTACAAAAAATAACACGTTTCTTAAAATTGAAAATCATGTATTGATAACTTAAATTTGAAAATTTCAGAACTCAATTGTGACAGAGGACTTTAGTTTCATAAGTGATCTTACTTCAAACATACCCAAAACAAAGATGACTACAGGGAGAGGTGGACTAAAACATATTTTTCCACAAATTAGTTACTCTTAAATTAAGATCTTGCGTCTCACTTTTGTCATAACAATAACTCAAAATTTAAGTAAATTTAAGACCTATGCTCAACAGTTCCAATTTCCTTCACTATTCATCCAAAGGAATCTATAATATATATGTATATATTTTTAAATTTTAAATTGAACTAATCCATTGTGCCTACTGCCTAGTATCAATTGTTCTGTTGGTCGAAAAAGACATTCATCTTCGAATGTAACTGCTTTAGTAATATTCGTACTGTTGGTAATTTCTTATCCATCATGTTAATTAATATCAGTTAAATGGTATTTTATGTTCATAATATGTTTCATGTCTCACGGGTATTCAGAGGAATGAAGCCACTGGAAAGCAATTAGAAGATACAACTGTCCTCATGTGGGAAGAAAGTATTTCAATTCAAATTTCTAAATTCTAATTATAAAAAACAAAAATAAAAAATTCAAATTTCTATATGGGCAGGGTTGCGATTAGACTAGAATTATAATTTCATTTTTTCTAACTTCTAACTTTTCCTTCCGTTGTCAATTTCATCTAGATAAATCCCCAATTTAATTGCTTTCTCTTTGAGGTCCTTGTGCACTATTTAGTGTATGTCTCCTCTGTTCTAACATTTTTGACATCAAATTATACAAAGTGGCTGCTCTCAATCCTGAACCTGAGACCTCAAATAACTTTTTAATCTTATTTTTGTTGGATTGGAAGACAAGTGGAGGAAGGAACACTTTTGAAAAATATTTTATTCCACTTAATTAATATGTGAGTGCACGTACATGAGATTACTGTGAGATATATATTTTGTAATTGGCTAATTTTGTTGTCAAAACAAGTCCGATTGAGTTGTAATTATTCAATTCACAATTTCGAAGATTGAAGATCGGATGCGGATTTGAAGAAAGTCAAGTGTTCATGGTATACTACACTCCGAGATAATGAGAACAATACTTCAAGAAATTTTGAGAGGTAGTGAGAACATTTAGGAAGGATTTTGAAAGGTTCGGAACAAGTTTTTACATTCTGTCCATTTTGAACTGGTTCAAGATTTATCGAACAGGTTCAACATTATCAAAATTGCCATAATTTCAAGACCGGCCATCTTGAACCGGTTCAAAAGGGCTGAACCGGTTCAAGAATCCGTGGGATTCCATACTGGCCATCTTGAACCGGTTCAAGATGGCTGAACCGGTTCAAGAAGTCCTAGATACATCAGGTTTCCAAGTTTCCATCTTTTGATGTTTCTTTTTCTGTCCCAGTTTCCTTCCAAGTCCTATGCACGAAATGTAATGACCCGGTCATTTTTCTTCCTTTTCTTTTTCTCAGATTTTAACGGATATTTTTTTTTTTTCCGTTATCTTTTCCTTTTTGGGTTCGGTTTTTCATTACTTGATGTCGTCTCGAGTGCTTTGGAATGATTTCTGAGACTCTTTTCATTAAATTGACAACTTCCTTTGGGGATTGTGTCATTTCCATATTTTATTTTACCGAACACTATTCACATTTTGTCTTTTTCTCGTTTATCCTTTTTCCTTGCACAACCTCACTTTTTGTACTCGGATTTGATTCCAGTTTTGCATGTATTCATGATATTTGATTTCCATGATAGCGGTATTTTTACTTTTCTAGAAAAGCATGTTAAGTGCTTACTTCTTTCATAAAGGAGCATTAATGCATACATTAGTGTAATTATTCTTAACTTGTGGGGTTTTAGTGTAATTAAATAAAGTAATTATTTTTCATCTTGGGGACCATTGTATAATTAAATTTGGAAGATATTTTCAAAAAGGACCTTTTTGTAATTTTTGAAAAGTGTGACAAGTGTCACACTCTCATTGGTCCACTTGTTGACATTTGTGTGGAAACACTTTAATGCATTGGATGATGACATTTGGAGGGTGAGGATTCACCCACTTGTTGGCCTAGAATTGGTACACTTGTTGGCTTGGATGGTTGACAAGTGTAGGTGTGGGATTAAGCCTAGGAAGGAGCCATGGATTGGTGACAAGTGTAGGTTCACAATTTAGTCTTGTAAATATCTTTGGGCCACTTTGGGATTATGGTTTTAAAGAAGGGTTTTTGTGCAATTGACCATAGATGTGTGTGTTGACCATGGTGTAAAAGCACATAGTGAGTGGAGGATTTCTATTTTCTCCACTCACACTTAACCACATTATTTCATTCTCTTCTTTACAAGAAAACCCTAGCCTCCACGGAAGGAGCTTGAAGCTTTAGGCATAGACCTTGATCTTTGAAGCCCTTCCACTTACTTTAGACCATAAAGCTTGGAATACTTTTTATTCCCCTTATCCTCCTCTTCAAAACCCTTGAAGGATCTAGCCTAACTCCTAGTTTTTCTTTGGTATCTAGAGATTCAATTCTCTAGTGAGGTATTGATCTATTATTTTGAAGCATTTTTATATCATTATTGAGTGTTTTACGTGCATGGAAGAGAAGGACTTGTATTTTACCCTTAAACTGTTTTAACTTGAAATTAATCTTATCAAATTAAATATAGAATATGAAAATATACTCAATTAGCTTTCATTTAGTTTTGGTTTCATGAAATTTGGATTTAAAATGAATTAGTTATGAATTTTTGAAGTTGCAAGCTAGTTGCCAGAAATTTGAAGCTTTTCCTTTTCGATCCGGAAATGAATTTTTATATGGAGCTGTGGTGCTTTAATTGCCTTGAAATTTTTACTGGAACTTCCTCCATGGGTTTTACACTACTCAGAATTGTTTTATGATTTTAGAGCATTTCTAAATTTTTTTAAAAATCCAAAACTATCTGCTATCCATGTTTTTATTGTAGCTGGAAAATATATTTTTAGATGATTTATTTCACTAAACTTTTGACATTGGATCATGGCTTAAATTTTCAGTTTTATACTCCCATATGTTTACTTCCAAAATAAATTAGGTTTGCCCAATTTGGATGTCAAATGAATTTTTCATGAATTTTCAAAGTTGGAAGCTACAAGCTGAAAATGTGTTTTCTGGGCAGAATTTGTTTCAAAGTTATGGGTCAAAACTGTTTCAATTGGGAAAATATTTTGTTAAACTAAATTAATATTATCAAATTATAGTATTTAAGCTTTCATTGGGCTTTGGATTCATTCAATTTAGGTTAGAATTGATTTTTTTATGAATTTTACAAGTTGAAGGTAGCAAGCTGAAAAATCTGTTTTGCGGACCGAAAATTTGGAGCGATTTCAATTCGGTGGTAATTGTGATTTTCATTCCAATTGAGGTAGGGAATGTTTTAGGATTATTTGTGTGTTTGCCATGATTATACAACATCTATGTATGCCTTGTATCAAATCTAGAAAGTTAGTAATTTTTATTTCTTTGTATATGATTTAAAATTTATGATGATATATAACTTTGATTTGAATTGTAGTATGATAGGAAATTATGCTTAGATATGTTGGTTAACATATATTAAATTTGGATCATTTGATTAAGAATTACAACTTTTATTTAATATTTATCTTTAGTGAAAGTTTAATTCGCATGGTTGTATCAAGCATTAAATCAAGTTGTAATGTGGTATTTAAATAGGCCTTGGCATGTTCTCTAACATAGATTAAATTCAGGGCATTTGGAATTGTTTAAAAATCTAGAGGAAATTAATTAATTAGCTTGATTAATTTTGTTTTAAGTGTTTTAATCACTTAACTTGTTATTTGATGTAATATATATGATGACCATGACATGTCTTTCAATATATATTAAATTGAGGTTATTTGGATTAACTTAGAATTTAGAGAATTTAACTATTTATGTTTAATTAAATTCTATTTTATTACTCCATGGATTTAATTGCATTTTGGAAGTTGTTTCTATATTTAAATCATGGATTTGGATTTGATGTATGTTCACTTGATTACTTTTGAGCATTAGATAACATATTTGTTACTTTTATATTCATGAGAATATGTTTTTCCTTATTGAATATATTGTTGCTATGTGTAAGGAATTGCATACTTTGTATTTGACATCTTACATGCCATAGTAGTTGTGAATTTTGAGCATGTATTGTATAAGTTTCCAAAATTTGGATTGTGCTTGGTAAATAGTTGATATCTAGTATATACATGTTGATATATATACGTTGTTGCACAATTTGTTGATTTTGGAAACTTGAGGATGTCGTTGTTTGGCTACGGCTAGGACTTGGTTCTAGTACGGGGGATTGTCCCTTTATATAATCTAGTGCGCACATAGGGAGGTTACCCATGGGCTAGTAACCCTAAAGTAACTATGTTGTCAGTCTGATCCGGCGTGACGTCCGAGTATCCACTTTGTTTGATTTTGTATTTCATTTCAAGTTGATAACTAGATGATATCGTAACTTGT